CTTCCCTTCCCTCCCTGCTCATTTAGTGTGTATTGTCCTCAGTTGTCTTCAGTCCTTGTCACGTCCTTGCGTCGTCTGTGTTGAGTGTTCTGTGCTTTCCCTGTGCTTTTGGATTATTTCATTGGTTTGTACTTTGTTCTTGGATTCTTCCCTTTGGATTATGTGTTGTTTGGAGTACCCTTTTGTTTGGACATTTGCTGCTGAGCTCCGAGCGTAAGCCTGTTTAGTTTTGTGTTAATAAATCTTTATTCGAACTGCAACAACCTCGCCTACAGTCTGCATTTGGGTCCACACCTCAGTTCTCAGTTCTCAGCTTCTGCACTCAGCGCCCCCTTGACAACAGACTTTATTCCCACTGTTGGTATTCTGAATTGACATTTCTCATGGGAAGGAAAACTCCACCAAGTACACAGTGCAGATGCACATCATAGAGATATTGCAAATTGGATAAAAATATTTGGCAATTCATATAGATTTCACATAGATTAAACATATTAAAAAATAATACAATACAATCAGTCCGGGGTACCGGTACCGGTCCTTTGCCTACCCTGACATGTCAAAATATCATAAAAAAGGCGTATTTTGAATAAAGAGTGACAGCCATAGCACATGCCCACATAGTTCTGAGAAGTCTAATCTGCTACAGTAAGTGAATCACTTATGAGGTATGCAGAGCCTTTAATTAAGAAAAGTATGGGAAGCTTTCCCCAACACAGCACCACATAAAGTAGTGGAGCTGGTAAGATGGATGTTTTATTCACATAAAATCATTCTTTGTTTAAAGCAACAGCAGTAATGAAACAGGCATAGTGTATCTCCCCTGAAAAACCTTGACCAGAGGAGGCCAACAGTTCCAACATCCCCTCTATTCCTGTGACTAGAGTATGCCTCGTCTCCCTGACTCAATGACTCCCTGACCTCCAGTCTTTGTCCCAGCGTTGCATCGCCACAATCCACTGAGTCAGTGGAAAACTCATTTAGGCCTAATTACATGGGCTAGGCTTCTGCCTCTCTTACTTTCTTTCACTGCAGAGGCACTTTCTTTCACCCCTTCTCTTTTCTCCTTGCTCTCTCATTTCTTCTGTCCTCGTGCTCCAGTTACCAGATCAAGGTAGCCCTGCACTACCGGCCAGCCAGAACACACACACACACACACACACACACAGGACATCCAACACTCTAGTGTGGCCAAGAGGCCACAGGTACACCGGTACAAAGGCTTTTAGATGGTGCATTGTTATTTCCCTGGGGTCAGCAATAGGTTAGGGGCCAGTCTTAATTAGTTGACATAACTTATACATGATTACCCCTCTTCAGGTCCTATGGCTCCCAAACACACACACACACACACACACACACAAAGTGCTTTTCTAAGACCCAAAGCCAAGAAGTAAAGAGGGCTTGTCCAGGAAAGACACACACACACAAACATACACACATCATGTCTAAGGTTTAGAATTAAGGGGTCAGGTAGGTGAAATGTAAGGAACCCTGGGAGGAACCTTACCCCGGGACGTCAGACGGCACAAAAACAACGTCAGAAACAAAAGTCATATTAATGATAGATGACAGTCTGGTCAGCGACAGTCTGGTCAGCGTTCAGGTCATATGTCAGGACCTACACTGCTATGTCACCAAGAATCGAAGATGGTAGACAAGGACAGTTAAATATGTTTTTAAAAATTCTCTCCTGTGCACGACAGGCAGGAGTTTTACCTTAGATATATAGACGGGAGAGATGCACGCGCAGCTAGAGGGGCAGAAAGCAGCACTCTGTCTTCACGGCACATCAGTTTATACGGCATATCTAGCTGCAGTGTTGGGCAAATTACTTACATTGTAATAACTTACTTTTTACTTATTACTCATTTCAAAAGTAATAATATTACTTCACTTATTACTGGGTATTAAAATTAACTAGTCACATTACTCGTTACGTTACAATTACTTTCAACTACCGCACCCCATCCTTAAAAGTGACGGGAAACCTGTTCAGCAGCGGATTTTAGAAATGAATCCACTTTACTGGAACAATTAACCTGAGGATAAACAACCAGCCGAACTGAAAACACCGCAGCTATATTGTATAGGGTGTGGATATAGGCTGTTTAAAAATAATAAAAAACAAAGCAGGTCCCTCCCGACATTTCAACTAATTGCGTATTCATAACAGCATCAATGAGTATGATTTTTACGTACGTTTTTTAACGCTACTGTCTGAGATAAAAAGATCAAGCGTCTTGACTTTTGAACTAACATTACGGTTTTGCACACACATTTATAAGAGAAGTATTCAGTGCTGCAGCTGTGCTGCTTAAGCAGATGCTTCAATACAAAATTGTTTGCGGTTGATAGCTTTTTGCTGGTCGCACAACGTCTACAACGGAAGACAATGTTCTTTGCATCTCTGAGTGTGACACAGCTAGGCTTAATGGCAGGACTTACAGCTGTGAAAAGAACGCCATCGTTCTCCATTCTTACTTTAACTTTTTGGCTAGCAGCTGACTTGAACAACATTATGTCTGGTTTCAATGACTTGCAGTACAGTCACGCATGTTATATTAATATGCAAAATGAAACACAAACAAACAGATCCAACTCTGAAATGGCTGTTTATTATTTAGTCAACAAGAATTTACGAACAATGCATAATCTATGTTGATTACAGCGGTTGACTACAGTCTGACCAGCTACCAAAGCACTTTTGCCCGCTGGCTAGTAGTGTTTGTATACAAGAACCCGTCTAAAGACAGCAACAAAAAGATAGATAGAGGGATAGATAGCAATAGAGAATAGACACCACCAAGACATTACATATCAGGCAAATAATTTGAATCTCTGGCTCTGCTGAAACGTGTGATTCAAGATAAGCAGCACAGCTTAGTAAAAGTGATTTACATATCTGTCTCTGTGTGTTTGAATGTATTATATAAGTAAACAAATTTCTTTAACACAGAGACCAATGAAAGCCCATAATTACACACTATAATCTACTCTTAATGCGATATGATATTGACAGAAAATATTCTGTTCTTCAGGAGCAGATGCTTACCAGCAAAGTAATTTGAACCTGCCATTACTCTCCTGGACCAGCCAACCTCGTGTTCATATAAAATCCATAATACACTGTAGACTAACAGGCTGGTGTAAGCTCACTGTTGCAATACGTATGGTTCTTACTGTAATTTACCAATCTGAATTACTCTCCTAGTTGTTGCAAAGCATTTTGCATTTGCAGCTGCTCCACTAGACAGCATGGTTACAGCACGTCTGATCAATATCCAGCCCATAAAGCAGATGCCACAGTTACAAGAATAAATGTACTTGTGTCTATAAACTATTAAGAAACATTAACATAAACTGAAATCAGTTCTGCAACCACAAGAGATAAAAATGACCGCCACCATTACCAGTTTATATTACACTTCCAGAAAGTTTAGGCACACTCAGGATATGGTATTAATTTGTTTGGGAAATGCTTACTGCTCTGTACTGTAATAGGGCTCAGGGGAATGAGGGGAATGAGATCCAAGGCCAAACCATAAGGAAGGAGGGTGAGTATCAACAACAACAGCTTAATGATGCTCTGGTAATGGAGCACAAGCAGGTCACTTAGAAAGAGTACTCACTCTGGCAGGCAAAAACACACTTTGCACACAGATTGCAATATGTGCACTAACACAGACGTAACGGGGAGACCCAGTAGGTGCCAAGTACTTGTACGTGGAGTGGACATGGGAACAAAACATATGCCTAAAATATGTAAACGCAGGAGCACATTCACACAGATGGGCAGGACACACGTACAGATAAAAATATGCTGGGAGTCAACTAATGTGCTTGTTTCTCATAAATAAAGTAACTGAACAACAGTTATACACTCACACACACACACACACACCGTCTCTTTACTCTCAAAGACTGTTCACTCCAAGTCCATCAAACCTTTTAACTGCAAAGGTTTTTAATGTGTTTTAATGTCTCTGGGATGTTTAACTGTAAGGCCGTCATTTCGCTAAGTAGCTTGCTGCACAGTGCACAGAAGGGAGGGGTTAGAGGTTCCACTCGTTGACAGTAAACAAATCTAAATAATTCAGAGGGAGATTTTATTTATTTGCTATTTATCAATTACTGTTTCAGGGTTGGGATCTAATGTGTGTGTGTGTGTGTGTGTGTGTGTGTGTGTCTGTGAGTGTATGTTTAGGAAAACGGAAAACCCAGAATTACAGCATGATTGGATTTACTATAACCTTAATAGGGAGGCAACACTGACAAACAATAGAGACAGGTTAGACACCTCAAAACGTTTTTTGAATGGTATGTTAGGGTTGAAATGACTGGATTTATCACACCTGAGTAATTTGTTTTTTGTGTTTTTTTTTTTAAAGAACTGTTGTTGGCTGTCATGTGTCGCTCTGTAGTTTAATTTGCAAAGCATGCTCTAAATACCACAGTACTAAATGAACACATTCACTGCTTAATAATCATGTAGACTGTTTAAATTAGGATTATGAAACTACACATTAGGCTTGATGAATACACAGCTGGTCTCACAGGCAGCCTATTTCATTAATGTGCTTCTACCTCCCTCTGCTGGCAATTAAAGTGTATTACAATTGTGCATCTGTTCATGCAATTCAATATTGCATTGCGCACACATTTTTAATTTAAATGCTTTTATGTTTATCTACACCAAAAACACACAAAGACTTTTGCCTTGTGCTGTTCACAATAAAAACGTAAATGAAGCCCTGATTATTTCTTTCACTGTATTATCAGGGGTAAGTTACTTGGCTGTTTGTGGCTTTCATGTAATAGCAAATGCTGATAGTGAGGCACAAACTGGGGCTACTGGAGACCAGTGGATAAAATAAAACAGTTTTGCATATTAATCGTTAAGAGCATACTGTAATTTTTACAGTCAAACTTGTGAATTAAAGGAGTTATGGGTAGTGTTGAGGTGAGGGAAGGCTAACTGTGGGTTGTTTTGGGCTTACCTGCTAGGTAAGGTTAAGGTTAGCCATTACCAGGACTCCAACAAGCAGCCAGCCCAAATGGTGTTCAAGGTTAACAGTTTAACTTGTACCGACCTTAGACTGCAAACAGAGTTTTCAGAATTGGGAGGTAAATAGTCACTAGCAAGTGCTCCTAGCTAGCTTACTCTGGTGTCGGTTTGAAATGCCGCGAAAAGTACCTTTGCCTGCTGGAATTCATTGATAAGCCCCGCCCTCTATCAGCCCGCCATTGGTAGATCTAAGTCAGAATTTTAAAATATCATTAACAGTGACACATTTAAATTAGAATATAGTGAGACATGAACTCATATGTTAAGGCCATTGTTTTTTTTTTTTATTTCATCAGTTTCACATGAACATTGTCATCACATATAATGTTGCACTGTGTATGTATACCACTCTAAGTGATTTTAGATTCAGACACAAGACACAATTTTCAGGTGGATTAAAACAGCTTTATTAGTGTACACTGTAAGAAGTTGTCTGTATATGTAGAATAGTTGGAAAGCCTACGAAGATCATAATCAGTGTTTGAAGAAGACAGAAATCCTAACACTGCATTGTCTAATGGAATATGCTCCGTTGATACAGTAGCAAGAAAAAAGGACCAGCATGTATGGCAAAATAAGTACAGCTATACAATAACATCACTAGTGACATGTAGGCCAAACAGCCACCTTCTTAGGGATTCATCTGAAAGAGGCTCATTTGGGGATACACAATTGTCATCACAATAATAATAAGTATAAAAAAACATTGTGTAATCTTTGAATAGGAATATGGACCCTCAAAATGTGTAGATGTATCCTACATCAAACCTCATTTGGTGTCATCTTCTATCTCCAAAAAACACTTCTCAGGAAGTGAAAAAAGCTAGTTGGTTTTGGGGTACAATGTTGGGTGGCACTCACTGAAAGAAAAAGAAATAAGTAGATACAAAGGCTTTTGCTGGACCTTGACAATATGCATGAAACAGCATGTCTAGCCATCAGAAAATACACTATGCATATTTCTTAATGCGTAAAATGTTTTTCAGTATACAGCCCAAACTATTTAATGTCACTGCATAGAACAAACATGTGGGTTAGCAATGAGAACAATCTACTATATTTTCATATTAGCATTTGTACTGACTTTGGCGATGACAAGTCCAGTCATCTTTTTGCCTAATAAACAAAATACGACAGACCAGCTAAAAGATAGGACTGACAAGTGGACAGATAGATACACATACAGAGAGACAAACATCACTTCATTTGGCTGGTTTCAGTCTGGTTACAAGTGAGTAATAGAAAAAAAATCTAATCTAATCTCTTCCTAAAAAAGTATAGTTCATGATTTGACATGGTCAAGAAACATAAAAATAAAAAATAAAAAAATAAAACAAAGGGACCATGACTTGCTTTTGAGATTTTTCTGAAGTGTCAATGTTTTTGGTTTGGTCCAAGTGCTGAAGTACATCACCCTGTAGCAGAGGATGTCATCTAAAAATGTGTATCAAATGAAAATATTGAATTATTAAGTTTCTGCAGGATGCTCACAATATGTATGATAAAACATCAGGATTTCTGGACTTCTTTATCTGCCATTATATGATAAACTAAGCCTTCATTAAACCTTCATTAGCTGTCCTACAATTGTTTTTTAAATGTACGTTTCCCCCCACATGTTGTAGTAGTGAATAATCAAATAGAAAATGTGTTTACATGCACATCAGCATTACTGCGCACCAAGTTAAGACCACTGTCAAGTTTTTTTTTGGGTCACAATTCGGAGAAAGTCAAAACAAGCTATCTGGAATGTGACAGTATGAGCCAAGATAGTATATTTTTATATACATGTCCCACTTACAACCCCATTTCTCATGGTGACATTCTGCTTCGCGGTGACATTCATTAGGGTAAAGAGGCCTTGACTGGGATATAATATCATGTGTGCATGTAAACACACTCGCGGTTAATGAACAGTGCTCAACCACACATAAGGAGTCTTGAGAATTAAACATCTGCATTGGCAGCAGCTGTCACACTGCAAACTGGAATGTCCTGTGTTGCTTAAGTAAGACAGAATTCAACAAATTCACTTTCCAAAGTCAGAGAATACCAACTGCTTTGATACTGAAAAATAATACTGTATTTGATCTTCATTTTCTAATGACCATGGTATACTGAAAATTAACATATTTTCAAACAGGTATATTGACTTGTAACAATTTGCAACTAACCAAAACCCAAAAGGACATTAGCAAATTGCAACATTATGATTCAGCCAATACAATTAAATACTGGAAAACTGCAGCTATTAGGTTTTCATCAGCAGTTAGGTTTATGACACAGTGGACCTGCAGTGTACAGGATATACTGTAAATATAAACATTCAGTCTTTGGGGCAGCACTATCATAATTTGGGTCCTACCCATAGAGCTGAAAAATTAGTAACAGCAAGGCAGGATACAACCTTCCAAAATTCACCAGCCATGTTTACCATTTTAGCAGCCAAATCAGGTTTTGATTAATAGAGGATGGTAAATATAGTGACTTGGCCTCTCAGTCAGTGGTAAATTCAGTGAAAATGTTATATCCTACATACTTCATCATCAAGCTGTGATCATTTCAAACAGAGGGCATATTCTAAAAAAATATTCAATTCTAATAAAAAGGAAGAAAGCTTTGAAGATTTTAAATATATTCATATATATAAAAAAATACATGAAAATACAAAAACGCAGCTAAAAGAATATGTAAAGAAAATAACAGCTGTGTAGTATAACTAGCTTGTCCAATACTTAAAGCTTAAACACTTTGAGTCCTGAAAATCAAATGGATGCTCTTTAATAAGCCAATTCAGACAATATAAGGAATAACATCTTTTAAGTGAACATGTATTATATATTTTTTGTAACTGTCCAAACTTCAATTGGGCTTTTCAACATTCCTATCTGTACATTTCAAAGCATATCTTGCTGTATTTTACATCAAAGGCAACTTATCAAGGGATATAGGGCATAATTTGTGGCAGTGCAAGTATGGTATAGAAGCAAATATTTGAAAGTCCCACACTGCAGGACTTCCATTTTCATCTTCCTATCAATAAAATGTCAATAATGGGGAAACCCTGCATCAGTCCTATATATATATATATATATATATATATATATATATATATATATATATATATATATATATATATATATATATATATATATATATATATATATATATATATATATATATACACACACACACACACACAGGAGGCTTGTGCGATGACTACATCAGTGGAACGTTTAGAGATGGGTGTCTTTTTGTCTGTTAGACAGCAGGGGGAGTCAGTGAGGCTTAGACTCTTGGAACTGCATTTATCTCTTCTTTATAAGCAAAATGCACTGTTAAATGTTAACAAAAAGAATCTAAGGTGGGGGCAAACTGTTAATTGTCTAACACCATACGCTTTTATTACTATCTGAAACCAAGTTCACAGTGGAGTGACATGTACCACGCTCTTGTGCTGAGAATTCCTTAGCTTACTTAATCATTCCAGTTATCTGTAGTGGTTAGCCACTGACCACACTTTACAATAAAAACTCCTCACACTCGAACATCTACCCCACTGCACACCTATGGTTGAATAGGATCAATCAACATTAAAACACAGGGGAACTGGTTTGTCGTTATTTCAAAGCAAAAGGGTGTTAAAATATTAAGTTATGGAAAGGTTTGTCTGCGTGACAGTGTGTGTGTGTGTACATGCGAAGAAGGGGCATACATCAACTTGTTCTTCCAGTGGTCACCCCTTTAAAAGAGCTGAAGACCGTCAGTCTAGCACAGGAACATTGGGAGAAAAGCACAACAAGTGGAAATCTCAGATAAAAATGAAATTTTGGTCACAAAAACCAAGAGAAAAAACAAAACAAACTCATGTCCAGGCGCAAAGCTGACTTTGGTTGAACATGAGCCTGGAGTGGCAGTACTACTGTTGGTCAACCTTGTGTGAATGGAAATCTTGACGCTGAATCAAAGTTGTGCTGTGGTAGGTAGTGAAGCGGAAAGGAGAACTAGTGGTTGGAGAGACTGTCCTGTAAATTAGAAGGTCACATGCTCAATCCCAGAAACAGCTGTTCTCATTTTATTTTTGAATATAGTCTGGTCCATTTTGACATCACTCTCTTTGTCATTTTGATATTGCAGGGTCATTTCAATTACGAGGTCCATGATTACTAGAATGTCATCGTTAATCCAACAGAGCCAAAGGTGATCAGGCTCACTGACACATCAGTGTTAACATTCCACTATTGTCCATCATGTCTTCTCCCGTCCTCCAGGTCCATAGTGTAATCCTTTCCTTTTTCCACTTTCATAATGTTGTTAGCACATCAGTTTTAAGACTGCACGGCGGTCTCCCTTAAGACATACTGGTCAAATGTTGTGAGATGCCAGTTTGACTTTGCGTAAGCAGCAGCCAAACCCTGTCTAGGACATACTGGAGCAGCGCACTGATGGTGAACCCATCTGGGTCAGCACCTTATCCAACCACTGGAGGGGGCCATTGAGATGAAGCTCAATCCAACATGGAGTGCTGGTTACTGTCTGACGTCTGCAGAGATAAAATAAAGCGTAAGGGTAAGGAAAAACATCTCACTTGTTTTGCTTGGTCCAGTTGAGGCCCAAAGTGTGATATGTGATGGATCTTTATGGGTTATAATGTTAATCACAACCCTAGTAGCATTTCTAGATGATGACAGAATCCCCCCTATGTTCACGTAGTAGTATTTTCATTAGTACTGAAATAAAATACTGACAAAGTGATAAAGTATTTATACTCATTATTATCCCAGTTGTTACCTGAATGCTGCATAAAAAGTGTTGCTAAGATGCAATAACATTGTGATTTGACTGTTTATGCTGCTCCCTGATAAAATAAAAATGGTTTCTGCTGATACCTGTTCAGAAAAAGAAACAAACAAGAAAACTGATTCATACATGTTAACCTGTTGCTCAGAAGGTGCCTGTTATGATGTTATAATCGTGGCTCTGGACTCTGATGGTAACTTGTTATAACAAGCTAGATAAAAGGTAATGCCCTGGCAGTGGCAAATAGCTTTGGTTTCATCTTTGATTTGATTACATTAACATTTAAGTTGAGATTTACAAGAAATATTTTATTGCTACTGTATAAGGGGAATGCTGCTGGTACAACATCCTAACAAAGACAGGGTAGACCAAAGAGCACAGTAAAAGAGAATGGTGTGCGTAGCATACCTGTACTCTGCTCCCCAGCCCTTGACGAAGCTCATTCTGATGGTGCACATCCTAGTTAGTTGGTAGACTGCCTCAAACCCCTGATTGACTGACTGGGCCAGCAGTGCAGCAAACTCCTGGTTGTTAAAAATCTTCAGATTGCAGCCTAAAAAATAAACAAATGCAAAACAATTGTCAAACATAGACTGGTCATCACCATCAGCAACAGTTAATTCAGACATAGAACACCTTTCTCCATCTTGGTAAGTTTGAATTTTATGAATGTGTTAGTTACACCCAAAGGTTAATTATTAATTACTTTACAACAATGTGTGTTTTCAAAACTGGTGATTTCACTTGACCATTTCTGCGCACTTTACTTCAAAGCACCAAGCAGAGGCATTGGAAGGTGTGGGTGTATTGTATGTTGGTGAATATTCTCCACAATGCTGACAAGACTGACCCCTGAATGTCCACAAGATCCGCGTTTCCTTTTCTGTACAATTCTGTGCCTTGGTAATGATACTGTTCACACTGCTCATTTGGCCAGGAATGAAATGTTCAAAGAGTCATGGGTACAGATGAGTCAGTGAGTGTGGGTGAGAGTCTGAGAAAAACTGTCATATTGTGGAGGGCATTAGTGAGCTTTCTCAAGCTTCATTTTAATCAATATCAGGTGAAAAGAAGAAGAATGTTCAGCAACAAAGCCATCATAGAAGGTAAGCATAAAGTTTTATTTGGTGGTAGCAATTCTTGTTCCTCATTATGGATCCAAGATGCCAGATTAAAGTTTCAGTAGGAGCTCTGTCCACTTTTTGACAATAAAATGTCAACAGTGCTAATATATCCTAATTCCAAAGCAGAAAGGAGGCCTTTTGACAGTTGTGTAGTACCCACCAGGCTCAAAAAACAGAAAAAAAATACTATATATGTATACAAACCTGGTGGTATCTTGCAAACTGTGGCAGGGTGCCAGCCGTATCGCTGGTTGCAGTTAGGACTCTGGACAAAAATGGCACTGTCGCTGAGGCACTCGGCGAACACCTCCCCTCCGATGTAATACAACCTCACACCACGACCTGCCGAGTGAGACAGGAAAAATGTGAAGATAAAAAAAAATTACAAAGAATGGGAAGAAGACTGTCCATAAAATAAATAATTTAATGCGAAAACTACTACTTCCCATAAGCCTGACAAACCTTGACCTAATAGGATTCCACTGCCTTCCCTCATCTTTACAAGTTTCCTTCTCTGTAAAGATATTAACTTTGCTCAAAGAAAGTTAACTTTGTTAACTGTACTGATAAGTTACTGTACGTCTCCGTGTGTGTGTGTGCGCGCGCGTGCGCTTGTACCTATATGTCTCCTTGTCATTTCGACAGTTGCGTTCCTGTTAACATTGCTGAGGAGCCCTAGACAGAAGCGTTCAGAGTTGGAAGGGTCGGTGAAGCCATCGACTGTCAGAGATGGCTGTGAGGCGTGGAACGTCTCTCCAACCCGCTGGTTTAGCTCATAGTAGGCTATCGAGCACCAGAAAGCTGGTTCGCTGTAGGTAACCGGCTGAAGGTCTGAAAAGAAATGTATCACATTACATATTCAAAATCCTTAACTCCTTTTTTTCTATCACCTCAATACCTAGCTTTTCTACACCTTTATATTTGAAGATTTCAGTTCATTTTCAATACTACCATGGCTCTACAATAAATCAAAAAACTTCTCACTTTTTACTTTAAAGAGTTCTACACTGACTTGCAATAGAATTGAGGAAAACTGATATAGAAATACAAATAAAGCAGTCTTACCCAGGCCATGACTGACAGGTGACAGGGTGCTTGGCGACATTTCTGCTGGTGAGCCTGGGAGAAACAAAAGAGACATCATATATATGTGTATTACATTTGATGTACAGATTGTGTAAACTAGGGAATATCACAAAAACTAATACTTCAGTAACAAGTCGATGCCAAAATTCTGAAAACATGACCGTACTCATTTTTCTACAGTACAGTATGTACCGGCATCCAACAAGTGCATCTGAGACGACAGCTCTGATATCGTGTATGGAAACCGGGATGAAGTTAGTTTAATATTTAACATTTGTTGGTTTTCACAGCTGTTACTTTCAATATCTCCGTGTCAAAGCTTAGATTTTTTCCTAGTTTTATGATGTTGTGATGTGATGTTGGAGAGCCAATTTAGGCTAGTGTTTCACATCAACTGAAAATCACCAACGATGCAGTTTGCAGCGCAAATAAGGGAATGTCTGTCTAAAGTACCCGACAGTATGGTCGGAGTCAGGGACAATCTTAAAAGTAATAAAATAGGAACAACCCTTAAGGGTTGTAAAAACAAGTTAAGGAAATTAATTGATTAATTAATCTGGCATATTGCAAGGTTGTAATTTCAAATAGCTTGCTCATTTATGAATATACTGACATCAAATAAACTGTCATCTGTCCTGGACATCCTTTCACAGCTGTTAGTTCTTTGTAATTTTCATATGATTTGTTTTTTAAACGAGTGTAGTTGTTTGTTTTTTACTGTGGTATCAAAATGGGTATAAAGAATTGTGGAATTTCACTGGCATTGGTATTGACTACTAAATTTCTGGTATTGTGACAACCCTAGTGTAAACTGTGCTGTTTAATGTTACTGATGCTGTTTGTACTGTTTATGTTCACTTCTGTAATAATGTGTTTATCAGCGCAAGAAAATAAAGTTTGGCTTTGAGAATGATTTTAATGTCAAAACTGATCTTCTGACCCTCAACCTTACAGTGTGCCCAACTAGTGAGATATACAGCTGTATGTAGACTAGCATAACACTCAGCTAGTCTACCTGTTTCCATACTTTGACTCATCTGCTGGTCACTGGTCTCTCCATCTTCACTGATGTAGCCAGGTGGAGGAGTCTCTGTAAAAAACACAACATATGATAAGAATGCATTTTAAACACACTGCACATGAGAAAGACTGCAGGTCTATGTGTGTTCATGCAAGTCATAGGCTAATAAAGGTCATGCCTCTATGATCATATGTACAGTACAAACAACCACCAAACTGGCAACTGTAACTTTAATTAACTTCTATTTAAAACAAATCTAGTTGGCTTGATTGACAGCTGACGTAAGAAAAAATAAAATGTTCCTGCCCCACATACAGACCTGGTATGTAGTTATTAGGAGGGTCTATGCCAGCAGGGAAGTTGGTGTTTTCAGGGATGGAGTTTGTAAAGTCATCTAGAGGCGGAAGCTCTGTCAGAATTTCTGTGTGGCGTGGCACCAACACCGGAGGCAGCACTGGAGAGAAAAGGAAGCGTCACTGGCAGAGGCAAATTTGATTTTGCTAAAAATCATATAATTAAATGCATGTTGTTGGGGGTTTTTTTACGAAGTGTGCTGTTGCAACAACATTGTGCTTCTTATACACACACGAAAACACAGGGAAATAAACACATCCAGAGAGGTTTCCACTACAAAATCTGGCAAAACTACAGTGAAGTACAGTAAAGTGATAATGCCAATTTTAGTTGCATGATGATTGATTATAGACCTTCAAGGCACCGTGAAGATCACAGCCAGCAGCATTCAGATTAAAAACTATTTCAAGAATTATTACCAGGCGTCTCCACTCTCTGGTAATGGTAGGGATTGACACACACTTCATCCTTTTTGAGGTTGAAGGCATACTGGCAGGCGTCAATGGCCCTCAGCTCATGGTGGCTGTGAAGGTCGGGCCATCTCCACAGGCGGCAGTAGATGACGTGGGGCAGGCCCTTACGATGGGACACCTGAAGACGCCCATCCAGTGACCTGAGAAGGTTGGGACAGAGGACAGCTCATTGATCTTCACAGGGCACCATAAACTGGGCGGGATGTTTAGAAAGGTTTGCACTTTGCAGCGAGGCAATATCCAAATGGAAACAAACAGGACAAACAAGTAAGGCCACTAACTCGCCAACCAGCTGCAATGTTTTATGGCTAAACCTCGTTTTATGAGACTCATCAGCACAGCTACAAAGAGCCATTGCACAGACAGGCAAGGCAAGGCAAGTTTATGTGTATAGCACATTTCAACAACAAGGTAATTCAAAGTGCTTTACATAAAACATAAAAGCAACAGGGAAATATAAAAAAGTTTAAAAGCATCATAGGGGAATTGAAAAAATACGCATTAAAATATAATAAAAGTTACAGTAATCTCTGAAACTAGTATCCAAAAAACAAAACACCACCTTAATCTTTTCAGCTCCTTTGTAAATTCAGCCTATAATTTACAAACCTTGCTTTACTGCAAATCGGATGTTTATTATAGACACAACATCTCTGTGGAAATCACCCTAAAACCCATCTTTATTTATTTTGAAGAGTAATCAATACTACCAATTCATCTGTAGCATAGGCAGTGAACATCACTCACATTGTGTGACATATCTTTGCTATTGCAACTCCAATTGATGTACATTTTCATTAAAATACAGCAAAATTATTCCTTATTCCTGTATTATATAAATCATTATTGCACTAATGGCAGTGATATGTTTTTTTATGAGGCTATGACATTATAGACTGTTTCAAAGGCTTTTGATGATCTTAATAAAAAGAGGTGGCCACACAAGCCAGTATGTAGTGATACTATAGACTACAGAAAGACATTAAAGACAACATTAAAGCAACAATTGCAGGTCTGAAGAGATGGATAGGGATTGTTGATTCATTGTGTGTTTAGAGTGCGTGTGAGTATATTCACCTGCTGTGGTCATGGTATCCGTACATGCCTGTAGAGTCCCACTGCTCTATCGTGTGGCCTGTGCCTAGACCCCATAGATCTGAGCAATTACTACAGACAAACATACACGCACACACAAAAGACATGCATACACATGTGCACACACAAACACGCGCACACACACACACACACACAGGACAAGTGCAAAAAGGATAAAAATAAAAGCAAACAGATGGTAAACATGAGGCATTTCATTCCAAATTAGTAGGATGAAATCACAAACATGTACAGTTGGTCTCTTATTGGCACAAAGGACGGAAATTTTAAAATAGAACCGCACTTTTCAATAAGAGACGCTAACTGGGTGACAGGTGATCATGTGACAAATCCAAACTGGACAGAGAGTGATGTGGTGCAAACAGGTGATGTAAGGGGGGTAGAGGGGATTGAATTGTGGCTGCCTGTTAAAACTTATTAGATGAAAGGTGACGCCAGATGAATTGATTTTAAATAATAATTTACATATGTGATCAAACTCGCACTGTAGAAAGATATGAATAATAATACCTCACCACTTTACGTGTCTTCAAGGGTTTAAGGTTCAATAAGCTGCTGCGATGTCTGCTTGCATTTGCAATCTAAACTACACATAAGTCACATTTCAGCACATCACAGTATTTCTAAGATATGTATACAGGTGAAACTTGAAAAATTAGCATATCGTGCAGAAGTTCATTTATTTCAGTAATTCAACTTAAAAGGTGAAACTAATATATTATATAGACTCATTACATGCAAAGTGAGATATTTCAAGCCTTTGATATAATTTCGATGATTATGGCTTACAGCTTATGAAAACCCCAAATTCAAAATCTCAGAAAATTAGAATATTGTGAAAAGGTTCAGTATTGTAGGCTCAAAGTGTCACATTCTAATCAGCTAATTAATCCAAAACACCTGCAAAGGGTTCCTGAGCCTTTAATTGGTCTCTCAGTCTGGTTCAGTGGAATTCACAATCATGGGGAAGACTGCTGACCTGACAGTTGTGCAGAAAACCATCATTGAAACCCACCACAAGGAGGGAAAGCCTCAAAAGGTAATTGCAAAAGAAGTTGGATGTTCTCAAAGTGCTGTATCAAGGCACATTAACAGAAAGTTACGTGGAAGGGAAAAGAGTGGAAGAAAAAGGTGCACAAGCAGCAGGGATGACCGTAGCCTAGAGAGGATTGTCAGGAAAAGGCCATTCAAATGTGTGGGGGAGCTTCACAAGGAGTGGACTGAGGCTGGAGTTACTGCATCAAGAGCCACCACACACAGACGGGTCCTGGACATGGGCTTCAAATGTCGTATTCCTCTTGTCAAGCCGCTCCTGAACAACAAACTACGTCAGAAGCGTCTTACCTGGGCTAAAGGAAAAAAAGAACTGGTCTGTTTCTCTTTTCTGATGAGAGCAAATTTTGCATCTCATTTGGAAACCAAGGTCCCAGAGTCTGGAGGAAGAATAGAGAGTCACACAATCCAAGATGCTTGAAGTCCAGTGTGAAGTTTCCACAGTCTGTGTTGGTTTGGGGAGCCATGTCATCTGCTGGTGTTGGTCCACTGTACTTTATTAAGTCCAGAGTCAACGCAGCCGTCTACCAGGGACATTTTAGAGCACTTTATGCTTCCTTCAGCAGACGAGCTTTATGGAGATGCTGACTTCATTTTCCAGCAGGACTTGGCACCTGCCCACACTGCCAAAAGTACCAAAACCTGGTTCAATGACCATGGGATTACTGTGCTTGATTGGCCAGCAAACTCGCCTGACCTGAACGCATTGCCAAGAGAAAGATGAAAGACATGAGACTGAACCATGCAGAAGAGCTGAAGGCTGCTATTGGAGCATCCTGGTCTTCCATAACATCTCAGCAGTGCCACAGGCTGATAGCATCCATGCCACGCCGCACTGAGGCAGTAATTCAGGCAAAAGGGGCCCAAACCAAGTACTGAGTACATATGCATGATTATACTTTTCAGAGGGCTGACATTTCTGTATTTAAAATGCTTTTTTTATTGATTTCATGTAAAATTCTAATTTTCTGAGATTTTGAATTTGGGGCTTTCATAAGCTGTACGCAATAATCATCGAAATGATATCAAATAAAGGCTTGAAATATCTCACTTTGCATGTAATGAGTCTATATAATATATTAGTTCCGCCTAATTTGAATTTCTGAAATGAACTTTTGCACGATATGCTATTTTTTTCGAGTTTCACCTGTACATCTATGCAGCAATGATATGTGACTGCACGAAATGTGTCAATAACAGAACAAAAAAACAAAAAAACAGATACACAACACGTGTATGTACAAACACAAAGAGTGTGTATGACTGAAGAAAGCACACATCCCGACAGTTGCTAACATGTCAACTCTAAAGCTCTTCGGATGTTCTTTTCCACAGCATCTTGGAGAAGAGGGGAGTAGGAGGCGATTCTGTTGTCTGATCAGAGAAAAGAGAGTTGCCAGACCAGTCTGTACAAGACCCGGTATCTTGGCACTTATCAGCCAAGCCAAGGTGTTCTACAACTACAAGCCCCATGTAGACTATCCAGACGCAGCTAATGTCTTGCCTTCTTCCTTTCTCACTTAAAAGGTCACCACTACAATCCCTACTGGCAGTCTGTCAAAAGTCCTCTCTCTGAGCATGACTCCTGATCCTCATCCACTCACAAAGCTAGACTTGTATGTTAAATCTGCAAAACATCACAAGGATATCTGCACCCAGAGCTGATGTACACCGTTTTTTAATTTATTTATTTCAGGTTTATTTAACAGGGACAATGCACACTAATAACATAAATAAATGTATAATGTGCAAGAATTAACCAAAAGGCTATTTTACATCTGCTGTCCCTGGATAGATCGTAATAGGTCACACCTAAAATGATTAAAATAGTACATAAAAGGTTAAGCCCAGTACAAGTAAAAATTGACTATAAATGTATACATTTTTTTGACTAGACCAACATAAAAACAAGAACAGTCTACTGTTCAAAAAGTTACCCGTGCCTGCTATCTCTTGACACAGCTGAGGACTTCCTGTTACCTCCACTCAGAGAAATCTACATAGTCCTACACCTGCTATCTCGGAGAAATCCTCCAGACACCTCTTTGAAATTCTCCCCCACCCAAGCAAAAACCCCAGACAAATACCAACAGCCTAAGAAACTTTTTTTTTTTTTTTTATATATATAAATCAACCATACTTTTGCGTTCAAAGGGAAGTGATCTATGCATCATCATGCCATCTACCGGAAACTACTGAGCTCTGTCGTCAAGCAGTTCACCCAGGCCTACAATTGGATGGCAGGTTTGCCTCCAACATGGAGCTACTTTAACCAAGCCACCGTAAATCTGTGAAAAGTGATGGCAACAGAAAACACTTTCCATTGCCATACTTCTGTTTAAACTCACTCCTTTCAGTGTTTACCATTTGCTGACCAATGGCAACACGTTAATACAAGAAAAGCAGCTAAGCAAACGAAAGCACTTCTGCCTATATTTATTTGTGTACTACCAACAATCGACTTCTTCACCAATTGGTTCAGCACAAACAACAAAAAGTAGCGCAAAACAAGTAGGTGATTGGTGACTCATTATATAGAGCTGAAAGAACGTTGCTCGTACGTCCCAAACCCTGAAATTCAGAGATTTAAAAAAAAAAAAAATAATAATAATAAAAATTTCTTGAAGACAGCAGCAGTATTCAAGTAAATGTCTAACATGAACCACCGTCACCTTATCACTACCACTTCAGAAGCTACTATCTAGCCTACATTCCTGAGAGTGAAGAAACAGAGAGGCCTGGCAAAGACACTTAAGCCTCATGTGCACGTTTTATCCCTTTTCCACATGTACTTCTCTAAATTCAATGAGACTAGTTTCGGGTATAGTGTTCAGCATACAGTATATAACCACATAACGTGTGTTGATATATGCTGCAGTGTCATCTTGGGTCAACAGTTTTCATGTAATCCTAGCACTGCCCTGCTTCATACTTTATTTGCCGAACTCCACAACACTCACACTCGCAGTACCGGCTACAATGATGAGAGCTCCACTGAACTGCACTTACCTGAGCCAGCACTGATGCTCACACTGGTTCAATAACTTTGATATTAAACACATTTAAGCTAGCGTGTCGATTCAAAGTGTAAATCTACACAGCATGCATTAAGGCCACAATGTGATTAGAAATGCCTAACGTCAGCCAGCATTGCTGAGACACTATCACCCCACCAGGAACATCGCCATCTGATATTACCAGAGTCGTAGAAGATGAACCCTTCCATAATACATGAAAAGTAAACACACGCAGTACTAGTATTAGCACCGCCTCTGCTAACCCAGACACCTGCCATATTTATTTATCCTGCCACCTCTTCAGCTTCTCACCTGGAGGTCAACACAATATGCTGTCAATGCAAATACACTGATAGTTGTCTAACCAAATGCATGCCAGATTTACATTGATCACATTGTAATACCCAGAATAAATGGGTAGTCTTGAGGCCCGTGTGTGTTCCTACCTGTCAAAAATTAACCCGAGGAAGCATGGTGGTGTGGTGATAAGGAATGGCATTCTTCAATGAACGACCAAGCTTCAAGACACCATTTTTAAAAACAAGCTGCCCTGTTGAACTGTATTTGAGCAGGACACTAAATCCCCATCAGCTCCAGGTGAGCCGTTTTCTGGCGGACGTGGATGAAACACAACTACTCTGCAGGGACAGATTCTATTATTGATAGTTTATAATTAAAAGGAAATTCAGAGAGAAAGAAGAGAGAGGGTGGATTACATAGAAAATTTGAGACGGGAAGCTCATAAAATCTTCACAGAGCAGCCTAGTTATCGCCCCTTTCTGCAGATCCTCTGCGGATTGATTGACGTTAATCACATGCTTCTCATGGGGCTCCCCTGACTTTGCCACCTTTCTCGTGGTAAGGTTTCACCTGGTCTGGTGACTTGGCTCGTGTACCTAGTCATGTGACACAAGAGAAGTCTACACTGAAAGCCATAAGACCTGTAATCATTCAGATTACACATCTACAGTATTAGCAGGTTTGGGTGGACAGTTCACTTTCAAGACAGTCAAATGACTTTTTTCTATTCTCTGAGGTTAAAGTGTTCCGTTTCCAGAGGAAAGTGAACAGATATAATGGATAAAAGGTTTATTTTTCCTCTTTTGCTCTTTTACAGCCTTTGCAAAGACATTAATCATATGTGGCGATGGTACAGTGGATACGACACATGCCTATATATATATATATATATATATATATATATATATATATATGTCTGTGGGAGCTGGTGTGTGCACCAAAGCCCAGGGTAAACATATAACGCCATCCTAAACTGACATCAGCCATTCAGAATGCCTTTTGTCTTCTTACCTTTTGTTTACTATAGTCTGCCTGATTATAGGGTTGAGCCGATGGACGATGTCATCGTCCATTAGCGATTGCTGACCGACATCACAACGTTGAGTAGGCATCGTGATTGTAAAACCGGCAAAAAATCTAAATTTTTCACTTTTTTTTTTCAAAAACATGGTATCTAAACAAACTTCATTTGCAGAAGGACAGAGATACTGGTGCTCGCAGAGTATTGGTGCAACTCTAGGCTTTTAATACATAAAACAAAAAGCTAACTGATGATTAATGATTAACATCTGATGATCTTAATCCAGATAATGCCTTCCAACAAGCTAAGCCTATGTCAAACTGTAATGAGATGAAAGGAAATACTGAAACATAGTTTCAGTATATCAGGCAGTTCAGGATTTTGTAAAAAGACCAAAGCGTAGGCACGATCAGAGCCTGTCACTTATCCAGCGATTGATCAAAATAGAGCAAACCATCCAAATCGTAGCACACAATGGGGAACGCGCAGACATGCTTCCTGCATATAGTTAAGACAACTTTGGCTGGCATCGTGTTGGACATCTGTTTCCTCCAATCAGGTTTCACTTCTGTTGCCTTGCTAACCTGCTGAACAACAGAAAGCGGAAGTGGACCTTCTGTTGCACAACAAAGACTTTTCTTACTGCAAGCCTGTGGGTACCAGTCACCCTCCTTCTTGCTTTCATGTGTGTTGACACAACTCGCTGCGCTGATCTGTGTTGGTGGTATTGTGGTATACCAGTGCACAGGGACTGCGGATGTGTGCTTGTCTGAATGTGAGCACGACTCGATGCCATGTGTTAGTGCTGAAGCCATTAGTTGATTCGTTTTGATAATTCATAATGACACATGGTTGTTACAATTCCCTACAATAATGACCACGTTGAGTGTGAGTGTGTGTGTGTGTGTGTGTGTGTGTAAGCATGTAGAAGACAGAGCCAGAAAGGCCGTGGACATACCGGATGTGTGTTTGTCTTCATCTCACCTGGGTATGGTGACACACTTTGTGTTGCTGTTCTGCGTGCTGATAGCCTTCTCTAGCTCGTCCAGCTGCCCCGTCTTCTTCACCTTCTTCACCAAGCTTTTCACAGCCTTCTCACACCATTTCTCCTCCTGCCCACCTCCATTCTGCTCCCCGACTCCTCCAATTCCTCCCCCTGCTCCTCCACTCCCTGCAGGAGTCTTCTTCCACCCCAGGAGGCGTTTCACTACCGGGGGAGTGAAGGGAAGGATGGAGGACATGGTGGCTTATGTATGTATGTGTGTATGTGTGTGTTTTGATGGCCCTCTTAGTCTGACGTAAAGAGAAAAAGGTAGAGGGGAAGGAGAGTAATATGGTTGATGGGTTATTGTCTGAACTCCCACTGGAGTTTTTTTTTTTAACTATATAAACAGAATATATGTATGCGTTTTTAATTACTGTCTAGTTGGAACTAAGGCATCAGTCTAGATGAGTCTTGGGAAATATCAGATTGAAAGCACACAACGTAAGGAGTGGAGAGGAGTACATCCAAAGACACCTAAGAAACAGAGGGGGGAAAAAAAGAAAGCACACAACAACACGTGTGAACACAAAGAGTTACAGTTTGGAAGCATTCACGGATTCTGTTCCATATTCACCATTCGTCTCTCTGTAGGTCAACCTCTGATAAATACATTTTACTGCTGGTGCACGCTTTGCTCTGCTGTTTAGTGCTTTTCGATTATAATAACAAAATAAACAGGTTTGCCATCTCACAAAACCACTTAAAATTTTGTGCATTGGTGATTATTAAAGTGAGCAGATGTATCCTTCATTTACCACTGTTTTTACTAGTGGCAATTTATTATATAAACCTATCACCACCCAACATTTCACTATATATACCAAACTGTTGGGTCACTTGATCTCATAGATGTACATAAAGCTGTAGTTCTGAACAAATCATTTCTTTGTGTACTACCAACAACAGAACCATGTACTTTAGCAAAATTATCCATTATATTCCATATGACAAGGCTGTGGACGATCCAAACCAATACATGGTTTCTTTTCTTTATGAGGTCAACCTTTAAAGTCATGTTCAAGCAATGTTTTTTTTTTTTTTTTACTGAGGTGACAAATCTATGTCAATATCTAAGCTGTTCCTATAGTAAAACTATGCTATTATCGAAACCAGTGTTCACCCTCTCATACGGACTTTGTTAAACCCCTCTTAGGAGCAGGGTCTTAAAGCCTTACCACACAAAGCATGCCGACTCATTCAGATCCTTTTGTCAGACCATCAACCATTCTGGCAGGTGAGTAATACACTATTTTGAAATTCCTATCAAGCAAGCAAAAGTGCTGAAAATAGCTAGCAAAATATGGAATTCTATGGATGCAAAACATGAGTTTACATGAGCTCTGATTTGCATATGTAACCTTATCCTTTATTAAAGTTCTCATTTTACTGCCAAGATCCATTTTCCAGCGTAATGAGGAAACACACATGCTCAGACAAAGCAAGTCCAGAAAGGATCTACAGAGAATACTCAAATTGATTTGTTAAATCAAATTTGAAATCGTATCTTTTTTCCGTGGGCCCAGTCATCTCAAAAGAGAAACACTTTTGTCAGGTGTAGATTAGAGCACCACATTATTTATCAAATAGGCTTAAAATATAAACAGATAGCAGCACAGCTTCTCAACTCAGGTGCCAGGGAGGAAGGGAAGAAGGGATAACTGTCCTCAGCATGTTCCTCTGAAAGTCCAAGCTCCTTCTAAGAATCCATTTCCCAGTCTTAACCCTTGGACTGCTTACTTAATAGTGCAAGTATGAATGGTTTTCAGAACGAGGCAGACCTTTCCTGAAAATAATTAACAACAGCCATACTCTTAGTACCTGCAGTTGCTAGTTTGTTGTCTAAACATTCGAGCATGCCATCCACTAGGGCTAGCATACACTACATAAATAACTGCATTGATGTCTAAATAAGAGAAGGCTGGAAGTAAAATACTGTAGGTTGGTCAATACCTTGATTGTGATCACTGAAGAGTATTATATAGCAAAATAAAAGATCACTTAATATTGTGGTTATTCCTTTTGCTAAAGGTTATACACGAAAGGAGGTGGGATAAACTCTTATAACAACATAAAAACACTGCTGTATGTGGAAGCCTATAAAACTGAACAGAAAGTCTTAATGTAAGGAACAAAAAGCAAAACAAAAAAAAAAACGTGCCGATGTGGCCACAATGTATATGTCTACTGGAAATGCTGACCACGGCTATCAGGGCCTTGTGGGCAAAATAAGCAACCTTATTTTGTCTGCAATGTCTCGTCTTTTTTTTGTGATACACTGTCTGTTTGGGTTACTTGTTCCCCCCGAGACCATACACACAAAACACACACAGCACACACGGTTAGAAGAATAAGCTAACGCTACAAACGGCAATTCAGACTAATCAGCCACTGGATGTAGACTTTGACAAGCCACAAAAAAAGCGAGTTCATTTCACAGATAGGTGACATTTGCTGTGATATACAGGCACAGTGAAGAATATTCAGATTTCTTTTGTCTCGAAATGACAGCCCCCCTCCTTCTCCTCCTCCTCCCTTCGCCTCCAAAAACAAACATAAAAAAAAAAAAAAAAAAAAAAAAAAAAAAGAGTACGAAAAATCCGCTAGCAAGCTTGCTACTTTGTGTCACAGACAAATAAACAGGTCTGTTGCACGTTCCGTCGCTAACAAATCCGATCAGTTTCATTGTTAAAAACACACTTACCCGACGAGGAGATGAAAGGATACTAAACGGCCTCTCAGGTGTCTGTCAGAAAAGCCTTCTTGTTCATTTAAAATGCATCGAGAGAGACTTTAAACTGTATTTTCCACCTCCGAGCCGCCGGGATGATGGCCCCTCATTCAAAGCGCAACCAAACATGTATCGCTTCATGCAAAACATTAACGGCAGCGAGACGACTTAATGCCCCGCCTCCTCTCTCTTTCTATTGGCTGAATCCCGGGGTTCAGCCGATAACCTGTTGCCAGACGTGTGTTTTATTGGCTCGAGGTCGTGCCTGTCATACGCTGTTACGTACGAAGGTATGTCGGTAATGTTTGTCAGTGGGTACCTTGATTGTCCTTTTGCACTTGCATAACACTGTAGCTCGTTTATTAAAGAGGAGAGAATACAATATAATAACATAGAATAAACATAGGCTACATATTATAGATAGACGAATAAAATATACAATGTTACCACTTTTTTATTTTTATTTTTTTACACAATTCTTCCATTCTCAAAATTGAGTGTTTTAACACACCGCGACGCGGCACACTTGTAGGCCTGTGCTATTCAAATTGTGAATTACAGTGAAAGCACTTGATTTTAAAAATAAAGCAAACTGTGCTGCTGCTGACAAACTACACAGGGTTACCATAAACTATATAAGCCTATATAAATATTACATTGAAATCGTGTGACAGTATATAGGCTATAGGCTACTTTAGCCTATCATTGGTCACTTAACTCAGTTAAGTTAATAATGTTATTATACATTATTATTAATGTATAATGATTATCCTTAATAGACCCAGTTAAGTTAACTGGGTCTATTTAGGATAAACATTATCGTCTATTTTTCTTAAATGTTTTACAGTTTTCTTTTTTTCAAAATAGCCCAGGCATGCTTCATTTGTGCTATTTATTAAAATTCATTTATTTATTTATTCACTGAAAACCGCATACAAATTTCTAAAAGGACATGACGCCTCCCTAAAGGCAGAGTAGGCTATGGATCATCAGGTTAAGCCTACGTGCTTTTTCGTGTTTGTAGTGAAATGTTAAGCAGTAATCACTTAGATAAATCATCAGAAGGTTGTGGTTGCGACAACCTATAGGCCATTTGGTGATATCATGCAAATATTCAGACAAATGAACCTTCGGCACGTGCACGCAAATCAAAGTCTCTCTGTGGAGGAATCATTGCCTGGTGTGTCAGCATAGATGGTACTTCAAACCGGTGATTATTTTCCTCACCATACACTGTTAAAGGAGCCAAAGAGGCGCATGCTCTCTGCGCACAGTCACCTGGGACCTGTTGCTCAGCTGCGGCTACTGCTGTGTTATGAGAACGCCTGTTCTAGATTTAAGGGATTCTTCATTTTATCCTTCATCGTCATGGACATACGTGATGCGCTACAGACTGGCCGCGTTATAACCAGCCAGTAATCAAGCTGGATGAAAACAGTAAGACATAAAGGTGACACAACAAGTCACTGTCTTTTATCTCAGTCAGCTTCACCAACGAAAGGAGTCCACACACTTGTAAGTAATTTTATGCTTTGTCTTTCAGTCATTGCCTTAACTAGTGGCCTCAGGGTTTGGCAAACACTTGTAAGAATGACTGTCAGTAGACTCAACATGCTGTTGACTTTAGGATATTAGACTGTTATCCCACTGTAACAGTCAATATTTTACATGCAGTGAAATATGGTCATTTAAAAAGTGCTGTTGTTGAAAAGGAAAATAAATCAAATACTCCACTGAAGCCAATGGGTAAAATATTGTTAACCCAACTTTTCCGAGCTAAAGAAAGAGAGAGTTAATCCACTTAGCTGCATATTACATGTTCCACACTGTGTCTACAGGGGCTGTGTGTCTACTGGCAGGTAGGTATTATATGAAGCTTTGAGTGTGTAGACAAAAACAAATAATAAACCTCACTGGACCATCACCTAGGAGACAGAAACTCCAGAGGGTTGCCTGCAGTGTTGGCTGTAAAAATCTCCTAGGTAGACCAATGTCACTGCAGTGGTCTGAGGTCATTCAGGATAGGGCGGCAATTTATATATTTTCTCTGTTATGATTACAAAAATCTTTTCTCATGTAATATTTTATATGTGTGTGCAGGTGAGAGTCCGATTTGTACGCCGCGGGCAATGGGCAAATTCTGCAGGTGCTGCAAATGCAACGGGAGACTGTTGTGCATGTGCCTGCTGCCTTTCATGATGACCAGCCACCTTCTGATTTATATCATGGTGACCATATTCGTCACCATCTCCTACACGCCTCCAAAAATAATCATCCACTACATTGCCCCAGGGATTTCTGCCAACTCCTCTGCACTGGCCTCTCACCCACTTGGCCCTTTCTGGAACCTTCGTCTGGAGGACAGCGCGCTGTGGAACCAGTTGCAGCATGCTTGGGACCGTCACCACAATCCAATACTGCGAGGAAACACAACTGGGATAATGAGGAAGCCAAAAGTTAAGCCTTTATCAGAAATAGAAGACGAATGCCTTTCTGACTGCATGTCACACAAGTGTTCAGTCCCTCGTGTGCAGGATTTAAACAGCTTGCCAGAACAAATGAGGGCATTTATCTGGTCAATGCACTGCCGGGAGTATCCGCTCCTCATCAATCAGCCTGGTATGTGTAGGAGGAAAAATAGCAGCTTTGGTCTGGATTCTCCCATGCTCATCATGGCCATCAAATCTCAAGTGGGGAACTTTGAAAACAGGCAGGCCATCCGTGAAACCTGGGGACACAGTGGTCTGGTGAAGGGGGAATCAAATAAGGAAGGCAAATTAGTGCGCACAGTGTTTCTGCTTGGAAGGCAGGACTCTGGTACAGGTCCTCACCCAGACCTCAAAAACCTCCTGGAGCTTGAGAACCAGAAATACGCGGATATCCTACAGTGGGATTTCAGAGACACTTTCTTTAACTTGACCCTAAAGGACTTGCTGTTCTGGCATTGGCTCCAGCAATACTGCCCCACTGCCACGTTTGTGTTCAAAGGGGATGATGATGTCTTTGTCCGAACAGGTGCCCTTCTGGATTACCTGCACAAGCAATGGGAGGAGCACAACCTCTGGAAAGCCTATACAAATGAAACTGACATGGATTTGTTTGTGGGGGATGTGATCTATAATGCAATGCCAAACCGTGAGCCGTCCGCTAAATACTACATACCAGAAAGTTTCTACAAAGGCGTGTACCCACCGTACGCAGGAGGAGGAGGGGTAGTGTACTCTGGCTCACTTGCATTACGATTAAAAGCGATGTCTGAGAGGGTCCGCCTTTTCCCGATAGACGATGTGTATCTGGGCATGTGCCTGCACAGACTCGGGCTCACTCCAAGCCACCACCCGGGTTTTCTAACATTTGATCTCCCATCGACAAACAGGGACAATCCCTGCTCTTACAAATCTGTTCTGCTTGTTCACAGACGGAGTCCCAAGGAGATGCTGACACTGTGGAGGCAGCTCCAGAACATGCCAGGTCAATGCTGAGGCTCATTTGCCTGCCAAATAGGATTTATTAAGCACAGGATGAATGCTGCCACCACACTCATTTGGAAAGCTCAGGCTACACACTGTGACTGCATCTTCATGTCAAGCAGGTGGTACTCTATGAAGGTCACATGCAGTGTACCTTTCCTCCGAAGAGTTACATAAGACTGAGGAGGAGACTGATCTACCTCGGGGGTACTTTGATTATGAAGGCATTTATTTGTGTTTTCTCTTGTTTAAATCATATTTTCAGCAGTTCCAACTAAGAGTCCATTTCAAAGTGTTTCACATCAACTTTGCAGAATAATTAAAATGCAACTGATCCTGATGAAATTTATACATTTTCATGCATATCTTTTGTAACTTCAGTAATCATTTATAGCAATGCTTGACTTTGACAGTGGTTATCATTTAGCCAGGAAGGGTGTAATGTATAGAAGAATTATGTTATCTGATTTTGGAACAATTACAAGTTTTTTTAACTGCACAATATGTTGCTGATTTTAAAAGGGGCCTTGGATTTTACAAAATCAACACTCACTCACTTTTTTCATTCATGGTTACAGAAGACAAAACACCACAATGATTGATTTAAAAAAATATCTGATGAGGATTTGAAGTCATGGCAAATGTGATTGTGACTTACTCTGGCAATGTTATCCAACTATTTATTGAAAGACTCTAAATTGGAAGTGATAGTGGTGTTACTGGAGGTCTGTTGCTGTCCTCAGGGATTCCAGCAAAAAATGTATGATGTAAATAAATGTTTGTCTCTAAAAACATAATTCTATTGAATATCCTTATTTTTTATTTTATTTATGGTGTTATAGTTATATTATATATTATATTTTAGTTGTTTGGTAGTCCACTCACAGTATAAGTGCACTGTAGGTGTTTAAAGGTACAATGTGTAAAAATTGAGACTACTCCACCTGTTGAATTCATACTCCTAAATAATAAGGGGAAGCATTTCACATATCAGGTCATAATTGCTGCTAACTGCCATTAGCTAGTTAGCTCAGTTAGCCGTGCAGCTAACTTAGCGGTCCTGTTAGCTGACTGAGTCCGAAATGGGTACTGGAATCGGAGCGTGCAGGCAACAGAACCAGACTCAACAGCCTCCCAGTGAACCAAACACAGCCTCTGAGACAGATGGAGACCAGTTTGACGTCAGAGAACACTGTACCATGGTGATTTACAGCAGCTCCGACTAGGATTCTGACTCCGGGGTTTAACTCCCATCAAGCGACGGAGTGTAGAGGCCAAATATTTTCACATCTAACATCTGTGAATTAAGGGTTTATTTCAACCAAACCAGAGTTGTTGATTGTTGGAACAGCAGACAGACTAACAAAGACAAGGCTAGTCTTTCTACTGCATGTCTGCAGGTTTGGTGAATTGTATTTTGTTTCTATTGAGTTTGAATCAAGTGTGTTTTATGATGAGTTAACAAGATTAGTTTGGTGAATGAGAGAAACTTGAATTCAGAAGGTGTACTGCTTTGTTTATCTGTTTGATTAGGAAAATAGGTGTAAGAATATTTCATTTTCTGACATTTAGTGAGTTTATTTTATTTTAAAAAAAGCTAAGACAGCTTGTGTAACATAATGAACTCGCCACTCTGACACATCTTGCAGATGAAACAGGGGGGCTGAACTATACTATTGGACTATTGAGGTACAAAGTGGATGATTAGCATGCTACTTCAGTACTGTGTATAACATCCGGACTGTTACTTCTCTATACATCCTGATAATGTTAGTTCAATTTTTTAATGTTTTAAGCTAACCAAACAGTCTCTGAGACAGATGAGAGACCAGTTTCACGTCAGAGAACACTGTACCATGGTGATTTACAGCAGCTCCGACTAGGATTCTGACTCTGGGGTTTAACTCCCATCAAGTGACGGAGTGTAGAGGCCAAATATTTTCACATTTTTAAAAAAGCTAAGACAGCTTGTGTAACCTAATGAACTCGCCACTCTGACACATCTTGCAGATGAAACAACAGGGGGGCTGAACTATACTATTGGACTATTGAGGTACAAAGTGGATGATTAGCATGCTACTTCAGTACTGTGTATAAAATCCGGACTGTTACTTCTCTATACATCCTGATAATGTTAGTTCATTTTTTTAATGTTTTAAGCTAAAAAACAAAAAAACAAAAATTCAGTTCTTATCTTACACACTGTACCTTTAAACAAAGTTACATGATGTAAATTTCCATCTTTGCAATTGGTGGTTTAGCTATTTCCAGAGTATACACATGGGAGCTGTGCAATTTGTGGAAGCAAATTATGTGAGGGAAAATTTTAGTTTTGTGACTGTTAACAAAGCAAACATTTATATATTTACAAGAAATAAATGAAAACCAGGAAGTAAATGTGTTTTGCATCTGTTGTTGCCCGGCAAAGTTAGAATAAAACAAAGGAAATTACAATAACCGTCTTCATTTACCCTGCTGGAAAATGAAGAGGAGGAGATAGGAAATGAGATCTCCTCCAGGGAGAATGAAAGTTGTGATATAAAATCACCAAAAAATAGAGAAGACAGATAAGACACTTGGTGTCACTGTGTCCTCACTGAACCAGTATAAAATATTAAATGAAAAGTTTTTAATGTAATTGTCATGTAATTCTTAATTTACAAAGTTGTCTCTTCTCTTCTCTTCTCTTCTCTTCTCTTCTCTTCTCTTCTCTTCATTGTATTAAAGCCCATTCCTGTCTGGTCTCTATCATTGATTTTGGTACTAATAGGCAGACAGTGGCTTCAGAGTAATGTGGTTGCACAGGAAGATAAGTCTATCTAAGGGACACAGAGGGGAAGATTACTGACCTGCTGAACACTAATTAGGAAATGGAAAGACTGAGGCAAGGTGAACTAAATTTTAATGTATTAATAATTAAATTTAACTACAAAGCTACTCTATACTGTTTTAAATGCTACTAGTAGTAATAGCTGCAACAACTAGTTCTACTACTACGAGATTCCTTTACCAAGACAAACGGGACAAATAAAAGTAGAGCAAGTATTTAAAAAAGTGAGATCCCATTGAAGTTAAGTAGCATATGATTACTGCAATTTAGGAAAATGGAAATTTTTATCTAATGACATAAGTTTGAGTGACATCTAATGTTTAACTTCTGCAAATGCAGGAGTGGTCCTGAAAACACACGATCTTTCCAGTGTTTTGGACATCAGCACTCCTGACTAACAGCTCCACCCAGTGGAGAGCTGTGGTGACGACAGGAAGGTTCCTGAAGACTCTGGAGCTCCTCCAGTTAGAATACAAAAGCTGGGGCAGTCCCACTGCTGAGACAGAAAGCAACACAGAAGAGGACAGACACTTTAACAGTGTTTCATCTCAGATCAAGAGGACTCAACACTAAACACACAGTGAAGATGCTGTGCTCTCACAGACTCCACTCTGCCCTCAGTCCAGTCATGGACTTGTACTGGCCTGTACGCAGTCTGTGGCCAGAGGTCAAGCCTCTGCTCTACCAGCAGGAGCTACTGCAGAGAAACCTCCAGGAGCTCCGCAGCAGTCTGGAGCTGATGGACAAACTTCAACACAACATCCTGGAGGAGACGGAGCCTTTCCAAAGCAGTGTGGCCCTGAGACCGCTCTCCTACCAGCTGGAGAAAGAGGGAGAGCGCTTTGGCCTGACCCTGGACACTCAAGGCTTTTCCCCAGAGGAGCTGTCTGTCAGGCAGGTGGGCAGGAAGCTGAGAGTCAGCGGGAAGACAGAGAAGAAGCAGGAGGAGGGAAAAGGCTCCTACTCTTACAGACGCCAGGAGTTCAGACAGGAGTTTGATCTGCCTGAAGGGCTGAACCCTGAAGCCGTCACCTGCTGCCTGGCTCCAGACGGGAAGCTCCACATCCAGGCGGCCAGAGCTCCATGTGTTGAGGAGGCTGAGAGAGAGCTGACCATCAAGAGGAGCTCGGAGGAGAAACCACAGCAGAGTGTGTGTTCACACACAGAAGGCAGCAGCACAGAGACACACAACAGCACACAGGACAAACCTGAAGACATGGACTCAGCTACATGTTGTTCTAACAATGTGCAGTAAATGTGGCTTATAAATGTGTTGAATGATGATTATATGAGCGTTTTGTTTATTATTGAATATACACAATAAATATTGTATATATAAAAGAGAAAATTCAGCTTATTTAATTGTATTTTTACATTTGACAAAAATAAAGTATATTTCTGTAGGTTTAAAATACAACACTTACAATAACATAAGGTTCAAGTGTTAAATGATAAGAATGTGTTTCAATTTGTTTATGCATGATCAAAAAATGTATTGAAACTTTCACTATGTTTTTGTAAAAAAAATTTTACTGTAGGTAAAAAACAAAACAACATTAATAGCTACAACAGCATAAAGGGTATAAAGAGTATTTTGTTAGTGTTTACCTTCATTAGTGAGGGTATGAGCTGGAATTAATTATGAATTACATTTATTAAAGTTTTGGTGACATGAAAATTGTTCGATAACTTTGACCTACTTACTTTCATGATGGGTGTAATATTGCATTTAATTGGAATATGTGACCTCTGTTGCTTTATGTGCCTGAGATAACGGCTCATGTTTTGAATTCCAAACCGTTTGCATTCTTTTAATAAAAAAAATGCATTCTTCATATAAATAGCATCTTTTTGTGACTCCTGTCAATGTTCATTTGCTTTTGCTTTTTGACAGTCAATTTAGAATGTCTGCTCTGTGAGTTACCTCATTGAATGGTTTTGAAATATTTTTGAATGGTTCAGTTTAAATGTCATCACATCATTTTCTCTTCTCAGTCAGGTGAAGGTTTGACATTTTCATTCATCATTTCCATCAGCTGTCCCAGGAAAATCAGGAATTGAAACATATGATGTTCAGTATGATGTACTAATTTCAAAAATAATCATCCAAAAAATTGTTTGACTCTACCATATGTGGATTTGCAGTTAATCGACAGAAAAAGTCACCTTTTTCTTCACACATTGATTTTTCCTGTATTCTGTACCTACAATCACTTTGATACAGCGGAGAGCTGTGGGTAAAAGTCACAATTAGCCCATATTCATCAAAGAAGTAATTTTGGACCTATAAAGCAATTCATAGTGGCTATTCAATGAACATTTCCTTCATTTCTTCCCCTTTTAATGAAGCTCATCAATACATATTGTAAGTGTGCAATACTTTTTGTTCACAGACAAAAGTAGATTTTACATTTAGCCGAACATTTGAATGAAACCACATTTACTGCACATTGTTAGAACAACATGTTATTACAAGTGTTGTATTTTAAACCTACAGAAATATACTTTATTTTTGTCAAATGTAAAAATACAATTAAATAGGTTGAATTTTCTCTTTTATATATATTTATTGTGTATATTCAATAATAAACAAAAAGCTCATATAATCATCATTCATCCATCCATCGTCAACCGCTTATCCTACGTACAGGGTTGCGGGGATAATCATCATTCAACACATTTATAAGCCACATTTACTGCACATTGTTAGAACAACATGTAGCTGAGTCCATGTCTTCAGGTTTGTCCTGTGTGCTGTTGTGTGTCTCTGTGCTGCTGCCTTCTGTGTGTGAACACACACTCTGCTGTGGTTTCTCCTCCGAGCTCCTCTTGATGGTCAGCTCTCTCTCAGCCTCCTCAACACATGGAGCTCTGGCCGCCTGGATGTGGAGCTTCCCGTCTGGAGCCAGGCAGCAGGTGACGGCTTCAGGGTTCAGCCCTTCAGGCAGATCAAACTCCTGTCTGAACTCCTGGCGTCTGTAAGAGTAGGAGCCTTTCCGGTCCTCCTGCTTCTTCTCTGTCTTCCCGCTGACTCTCAGCTTCCTGCCCACCTGCCTGACAGACAGCTCCTCTGGGGAAAAGCCTTGAGTGTCCAGGGTCAGGCCAAAGCGCTCTCCCTCTTTCTCCAGCTGGTAGGAGAGCGGTCTCAGGGCCACACTGCTTTGGAAAGGCTCCGTCTCCTCCAGGATGTTGTGTTGAAGTTTGTCCATCAGCTCCAGACTGCTGCGGAGCTCCTGTAGGTTTCTCTGCAGTAGCTCCTGCTGGTAGAGCAGAGGCTTGACCTCTGGCCACAGACTGCGTACAGGCCAGTACAAGTCCATGACTGGACTGAGGGCAGAGTGGAGTCTGTGAGAGCACAGCATCTTCACTGTGTGTTTAGTGTTGAGTCCTCTTGATCTGAGATGAAACACTGTTAAAGTGTCTGTCCTCTTCTGTGTTGCTTTCTGTCTCAGCAGTGGGACTGCCCCAGCTTTTGTATTCTAACTGGAGGAGCTCCAGAGTCTTCAGGAACCTTCCTGTCGTCACCACAGCTCTCCACTGGGTGGAGCTGTTAGTCAGGAGTGCTGATGTCTCTGGATCCTTCCTGTTTGATCAGGAAGTTTCTAACTACATACAGACAAAGACACATAACAGAGGGATTTTACATTTAGATTAATTATTATCGTAACAAATCTTTTGTCATTGTCCGCCATGATTTCTCACCAAATTTAACAAATTCTTCAAAGAAAGACTGCAGACTGCAGATTGCGACATTGTGCTGAATTTGCCTTGAGTACAAATCAACATAAAAAACTCAAAGTTGCAGAAAAAACAAATATAATCACATCATTGCATATATCAACTAATCACAACAACTATAATTGGTGTATATACTGTATGTGTTCTCACTTATGCCTCAGAAATTATTTTCAAATCTGTAGATATTTAATTTTCTTAATTTTCATTCATGCTTGAATAACTAAAGAAAAATCCAGTGTACAATCAACATCAGTAAGTTCAAAAAAACACTAACAGGTTTTGTGTCCCTGTTTATATTTTCTTAAAGTGTAAAATATTTGTTTCTTGTGTTTTCTGGATGGTAGCAGATGGAAATGCTTAATAAAGATCTGAGCTGGAGGAGAAAAATTATGTGACCACATTGAAATTGATATTCATGGTAACTGAAACAATAGAAAGTCAAATGTGATGGAAACATGATAAATGTTGACTGCAACACTGAAACTCTCAAATCATAGTTTTTAACAAAATACTTGCCCTCATTTTCATGAGTACTTGATTATTTTTCAATGAAGTGTTTATTTAGATTTTGTGTTGTTGTTTTTAGGCACATCTTACACATTTGATATTAACAGATTCAGAAATTGTCTCAGTGAAAACTTGACACAAATAGTATAAAGGGAAATGATGAGTTCAAAATACATGAGAACTCTGTTTCAGTCAATAAAATGTTCACGTAAATAATTCCAGTCAATTAAATGTTTTGTAATGGTAAGAAAACATTATCCTTCCTGTAAAAGTCCAAGCAGGAGACAATGAAGCTCTTCAAAATAAAAGCCTCATCAAAACAGCTGTACAGTTCAGCAAGCAAAATGTTGATGAGGATATTTGATCATTTACTTTGAAGTGAAAGTGTCACGATCCTGTCCTGAGCTTGTCTGGGTTATATTATTTTGGCCATGCCTTCTCTGTGTTTTGGTTTCTCTGTGTCTGGGTTTTGGGTTTCAGTCCTGTCTGTCTGTGGTCTTGCATCCAGTCTTCTGCTTGTTCTGTGTGGTGGTTCTGGTCTGATCTGTCCTGTTATCTCGGTGTCTGCCCAAGTACTTGTTTAGTTCTGTTCCTGTCTCTCATGTGTTAGTTCTGTACCATTGTGCTTGAGTTCTGTCTGTTTGCTAGGTGTCAATTTATGTTCTCTGCCAGTTTCATTTATTAATCTGATTTTGATCATTTTGCTTTAGTCTCTGTGTAGCCTTTATTATTTTATTCATCCGCATCTTTAAGTTACTTCATATCCATCTTGTCTCCTTGTACCTTAGTTCATGTCTTAAGTGTTTACTCCTGGTCTGTGTACTTCTGTGTTGTTTTGCCCATGTCTGCTCTGAGTTCTGTTTAAATCTTAGCTTCAGTCTGTGTTCCTTATTATTAGTGTATTCGTGATCTGTCTGCTTGTGTCTGGATTAGTTTGTTGTTTTTATTATTCTGATCTGTTACTACTTACTTTGATATGGTCCATGTTTAGTATACTGCAACTTGTGTTATGTCTGTTCCCCTCCAGTAATCTGCCTGCCTGCCAGTCTCTGTTTTCCCTGCTGTCTCTCTGCCTGCCTGTCTCGTTAGCCCTGATCCCTGTTACCTGTGCTGCTCCCGCCCTGCTCATTAGTCCCTGGTGTATATATGTTTGATGTTTCTCTTCAGTCCCTGTCTGGTCATTGCAGTGTTTTGTAGCGTGTAGATGTGCTGTCTGTTGTTGTGGTTGTAGTTTGCACTGTCTCGTCCTGTTACCTGCCTGTTCCCTGTCAGTTCTTGTTGGATTATGGACTCAGCCACTCAGTTGTAAGTGTGCTCGCTTTTGGTTTGTTAATAAACCTTTTGAACTGTACCAGTCAGCCTACCACACCATAAACCATGACTCCTGTTCAAATGTTCTCTCTGGAAGAGGTATACATTATAAAGTCAACTTTCTGTCATTACAAGTGTTGTGTTTTGAACCTACAGAAATATACTTTATTTGTAGCCAAGAGTATAAAAATAAAGTTAAGTAAGCCCAATGAGAAGTATGTTTTTCTATTATATATTTGAGTATGTTCAATAATAAACAAAACGCTCATATAATCATCATTCAACACATTTATAAGCCACATTTACTGCACATTGTTAGAACAACATGTAGCTGAGTCCATGTCTTCAGGTTTGTCCTGTGTGCTGTTGTGTGTCTCTGTGCTGCTGCCTTCTGTGTGTGAACACACACTCTGCTGTGGTTTCTCCTCCGAGCTCCTCTTGATGGTCAGCTCTCTCTCAGCCTCCTCAACACATGGAGCTCTGGCCGCCTGGATGTGGAGCTTCCCGTCTGGAGCCAGGCAGCAGGTGACGGCTTCAGGGTTCAGCCCTTCAGGCAGATCAAACTCCTGTCTGAACTCCTGGCGTCTGTAAGAGTAGGAGCCTTTCCGGTCCTCCTGCTTCATCTCTGTCTTCCCGCTGACTCTCAGCTTCCTGCCCACCTGCCTGACAGACAGCTCCTCTGGGGAAAAGCCTTGAGTGTCCAGGGTCAGGCCAAAGCGCTCTCCCTCTTTCTCCAGCTGGTAGGAGAGCGGTCTCAGGGCCACACTGCTTTGGAAAGGCTCCGTCTCCTCCAGGATGTTGTGTTGAAGTTTGTCCATCAGCTCCAGACTGCTGCGGAGCTCCTGGAGGTTTCTCTGCAGTAGCTCCTGCTGGTAGAGCAGAGGCTTGACCTCTGGCCACAGACTGCGTACAGGCCAGTACAAGTCCATGACTGGACTGAGGGCAGAGTGGAGTCTGTGAGAGCACAGCATCTTCACTGTGTGTTTAGTGTTGAGTCCTCTTGATCTGAGATGAAACACTGTTAAAGTGTCTGTCCTCTTCTGTGTTGCTTTCTGTCTCAGCAGTGGGACTGCCCCAGCTTTTGTATTCTAACTGGAGGAGCTCCAGAGTCTTCAGGAACCTTCCTGTTGTCACCACAGCTCTCCACTGGGTGGAGCTGTTAGTCAGGAGTGCTGATGTCTCTGGATCCTTCCTGTTTGATCAGGAAGTTTCTAACTACATACAGACAAAGACACATAACAGAGGGATTTTACATTTAGATTAATTATCGTAACAAATCTTTTGTCATTGTCCGCCATGATTTCTCACCAAATTTAACAAATTCTTCAAAGAAAGACTGCAGATTGCGACATTGTGCTGAATTTGGAGAGCGGTCTCAGGACCACACTGCTTTGGAAAGGCTCCGTCTCCTCCAGGATGTTGTGTTGAAGTTTGTCCATTAGCTCCAGACTGCTGCGGAGCTCCTGGAGGTTTACACTGGGTGGAGCTGTTAGTCAGGAGTGCCAACATCTCCTGACTCTTATGCAAACAGTCATCAGTACAAATGAAGATTTCACTTGCAATACAGAATCTATTTTTGAAATATACACTGGTGAAGGGGTTATGATATTTCTTTTCTGTTAGATTATCAATCTTGTTTTGTAGGAATTTAAGAAACAGGAACTTATAAGTAAGGGTGTCACTTTGTTGAAAAGCGGTGGGGACATAGGGGCTCAGATTAGGGGTGTGATGAGACACTTTGCTCGAGAGAAATCATGATATGCGATTTTAGGTTCATGAGAACGAGCGGAAAAATCCTTAATCAGTATTTTTATATATATATATATACTCAGCAGCACGTGGCATTTTAATACAGATAAATGTAATAGAGATAATGCAGTGCAGCTCTCCAGCATTCTGTCTTACTTTCAGATCTGTTTCTCTTGTAGATCAACTTTTCTCATGTAATATCATCCCTGCTGAGACAACACATATGTAGGCATGATTTAATCTTCCCTCCTGTTTTGTCATGTTCAAAGGGAGAGAACGGGAAAACTTGGCCAAAAAGAAACTGTCAAGAAGTTGTTAAAGTTACTGATTGGTGCATGCACATTTTTGGGTCATTTTATTTTTACTTAAGTTACTTTTTTTGGACAATGCAAATTTGTTTGTTCTATACTTTAATTGAATTGCTTGTTTTCTCAGTGTGCAAATAAACCTTTCAAAAGTAATTTGTTATTTAACTGTGAGCTATATTTCAGAATGTTTTTAAAAAAACAAATGATGCTTTAAAAAAGTGGTGGGGACAAGTCCCCAGCGTCCCCAGTATAAATGACACCTATCTATATAAGTGAATCATCATTTTAATAGATATATATATTTTAATTCTTTCTATTCTAGAAAACCGTAATCCATGAGAGACAGCCTCCTCAATGGATGTTTAGTCTTTTCGGGTCTCAGATGAAACACAGCGTTGTTCAATTCAGTACGTAGTTTCCTCTGATCCTTTGCTGTCGTTTGCACATATCTCCGCTAGATGGCAGCCTTTTCTTCCGCTAATATTTACCAGCAAACTTACCCTCCAAACGCCAGCAGCTTTCCTGCTGTCTCAGCACTTTGCCACTAGTTGTCATCCTAGTTTAACAAAATGAATTTACACACGAGAAAAGCCTCACTGTACATCGCTACCTGTGATTATACAGATTCTAATTAATACTGTTCGTCTGCTGTTCTTTACTATGTTTATTTTTGTGACACACACACACACACACACACACACTGTTTCTTTCAAAAGTGAACAACACCACCATATCCATACTATTACACATGAAATGATCACGATGCACTGATTTTTACAGTGTGCTGTACAGGTCTGAAGAGATCATCATGTGAAAAAAATCAATCTGGATGAAGCACCTCATGTTTTAACATAGATTTCAATGAAAAAAGGAGAAAACTATACTCTGAGTTTTTCTGAATTAATATAATATTGTGTAATATTAATGTGCCATAATTGTGATTGAACCAATAAGAACCAGTTTTTTTTTTAAGTTTATTTAGAGAGTGTACAGAAAAGACTGACATGGAGGACTGTGCAGAGAAGTAGGGCACCAAAAACAACACAGAAGGCAGGTTTTAAACCCACAGTCTTATTTTCAACATATTCTATCTCTCAAAAAAAAAAAAAACTAAAAAAACAGGGATGGATGATGAAACCTGGACTGGCAAACACAGCGCTTTGCTGCTCGGGGATATTGTGTCAGGGTTGGTGTCAATATTTTTGACACATAAAGAGAATGTATGAGCTTTTTGAGGGGGGAGAGATTAATTTTTTTTATTTTTTGCCAGGCGTTCACCTTTGGATGAACTCCCCAAAGTGAAGGCAGGATAGAAGTGAGGAGGATGAGGAGAATGAAAGGTAACAGAGGAAGGATGCGGAGGAGGATGAGGAGGAGAAAGCAAGACTCAGCTCCATGTAAATCATCCGCATTGTTCTCCTAATGCTGCTGGTGTGCACAAACACGACGCACACATACGTTAAAGCTGCTGGGACAGCAACAAACACATACACACAGTCCCACACAAAGAAAATCTCAGGCACAAACTCGTACTTCCTTGTTCCTGTCTTAGTTTGTCCCTCACAGAGATGGTTTTTAATGCGCCATAATCCCCGTCTTTCCCCTGAACACATAAAAGAGATATCCTTATGTCTGTGTAAGTGGTTATGACGGCCACCAGCAAACACACACACACACACACACACACACACACACACACACATAGACACACACGCTCAGAGCCGCCAGCTCATCAACATGCAGTTATTCATTTGGCGCTGGATCGCATGCTGTTAATTGGCTGCCAGCAGAATGTGTGTGTTGCTGTGTGTGTGTGTTTGAGTCTGTACCGCAGAGCCGGGGTTGCTTAGAAATTCCCGTCACGTCTCCGAGCCTCGATTAAGACGTTGCTCCAGTTTCGAACAGACAGACATGTGGGGAGGAGGGGAAGAGAGGTTGAGAGGGGGAGAGGATGCAGCAGGGGGGGGAGAAAGATGAGAGAACGCCAGAGGAGTGGGAAGAGAGAAGAAGAGGTGATGAGGCGGGACTCAGCAAAGGAGGAAAAAAAAGTGAAGGGCGAGTGAGAGAGGTAGAGGTATACTGCAGTGGTCCTGTGTGTAGGACCTGGAACTGATAACTCTCCTGTGCTGCTTTCCTTATCTCCGTTATAGAGTTGGATATTTCGGGTATCTACTGTGAACTGTAATAGTAGAAGTCCTGTTCATTTTCTGCATAGACAATGTTAGGTGACTGGCATCGGTGAACTTCCAAAGGTTGGAAAGGTATAAAACTCTTCTTGGTTAAATCCTCAGTACAAACAAAGGAGCAACTGCGATCAAGAAATATTTGGTTCTTTGATAAAAAGTCAACAATACTACTCTGTCTACATATAATGTGTGCAGCTAATATTTAGATACCTGATAAAACAGTTTACTTAAAAAGTCTGAGCCAATTTTGGATGGCGTTGCCTGGCCACGACAACGGCCACAAGCTGAAGCTGTTGGTTTCACAATTATGTGTTGCTTTTGTTTTACCTCTTAAAACGTTTTCCCTTCCCGATGCACCTTGGGAGGAGGTGAATTAGTTACAATTCCCTATCCACCCAACCTCTTAACAATGACGGGCCGTTCCTTAACCCTAACTTTTACTGTAACCACTGCGAGAAAGCAATCACTTCAACCCAATCCATGATGTTTTCTTAACCCTATGCAAGTTGTTTTTTTCTGCCTAAACCCGACCAAACTGTAACCATAGCGGTGTATGATCATAAAATACTGTTGACCTGTGACTTGGAACAGGTTTGGAAAGTGCTGAGAAATAATTTCGTCCTGCCGATAAGGGCGTCAGATCATAAAACAGCAAGCATTGTTCTGAGGGAAATGACCAACAACATTCTGTCATTTAATTGGGAGGACTTGTTGCTTATGAAAGATTTCAAAACACCTGCAGGCATTGTTTTCTGTGACACTGCACACTGGCGTTGTCTTTGATCAACTTGATTCAGGATGCATCACTGAAAATTTTTCCAGCGTCAACATGCACTAACTCTCTGGAAAAGCAGCAATTTTCAACCCCGTTTGACATATTCCAGCAACTGTCCCCTGACTACTTCTTCGTCTGTATGGCACATTTGGTGGGTATAACCCACCAGATGGGGACTCGAATTTGAGACTCGGACTCGAGTGCGACTTGAGTCGCACACACAGTGACTTCAGACTCGACTTGAGACTCGTCCTCAAAAGACTTCAGACTCGACTCGGACTCGAGGCGTGGGACTCGTGAACAATGTTTATTTTTTAGGATAAGTCTGATGAGCTTGCCGTTATTACCTCCCTCCGTTACCTATAACTTGCCTACGTAACATCTGCTGCGTGCGGCCGCACGTGAGAGAGGACAACAAACACCGGCAGCTGCTGTGCCATTTATCATAAACTTTGGCTTTAAAACTTCATGCAACAAGACCCAAACAAAGAAGCGCTGAACGCAAATATGTGGTGAGTGAACATGTTTAGTTCAGCATTGGCCATCTAACGTTAGCTTGCTTCTTGCTTCAGCTATGAGCTACGGGAGGTTTACTCCGACTGTCATTCATTATGAAAAGATGAACGAGGGTTTGTTTACTTGCCAAACTTGTGGTGGTCGGTTAACCTAATCATTTACGTCCCGCTGGCTGCCATCACGTTAATTATTGCCGTTGGCTGGAAAGAGGTTACAGGTTTATTGTTGATCATGTAGCCTAACCTTACAGTTTTATTTAGTTATAGCCTAACATTATACTGGTTTGAGAGTCTGCAGGGTGTGTTGACTTACAGTAGTTTAAGCTGTCATTGATTGCATTGGACATTATAGTTGTGCTCTGTGAAAAACAGGTCACAGTTTATTGTTTTGAGAGTCTGGGGGATGAGTTGATTTACAGTAGATTATAAACTGTCATTAACTGTATTGCACATTACACGGTTGTGCTCTGTAAGTTAAAAACATGTTACAGCTTTATTGTTGACCATATAACTTTACAGTATTATTTAGTTAACTTTACACTGGGTTTGAAACTCAACAGGGTTTGTTGACTTAAAGTAGTTTATAAGCTGTCACTAATTGTAGACACATTGTACATTAGGCTACATGGTTGTGCTCTGTAAGTTAAAAACAGACAGATTTATTGTTGATTATGCAACGTCACAGTTTTATTGACTTACAGTATTTAATAAGCTGTCATTAATTGCATTGCACATTACATGGTTGTGCTCTGTAAATGAAAAACAGGTTAACAGTATTCCTTATTGCTATGAAGTTTTATAAGCAACCTGGATTGAACGCAGCAGGTGATGACAACATTCGTA